AAAAAAAAAAAAAAAAAGGCCCGCGGGGCCGTTTCGGCCCTGTTTCAGTGCCACTGGGTGGGGGCGGTGGGTCCAGGCCCGGGCCACGGCAAATCTGTTGCCGTTTCAGATAAATGCTGCCATTTATTTGAAACGGCAACAGTTCTTGCTGTTGCCGTTAGGCTGCCGCCCTGCCTGCCTGCTCGAATTTTTTATTATTATTTTTCATGTGTTCCCGACCCTCTTCTCTGCGCACCTGCATCGACGAAACGCCACTCGAGGGACGCACAAATTTTCCCGACCCGCCCTTCCAGGCCCATATGTAGGACCCCCCCGGTTTTTATTTTTTCGACGGTCTCCCACTTCGAGGGGGTGCCCCCCCCACCGTAAACCCGCTCCCCGCTCCCAAAACCACCTCCCCGATCGGTCGTGGCCTCGGCCGAAAATTCGCGGTCGGCCCGACCGCGGCCTGGGGGGAACATAGCTTTGCAGTTTACCCTCATCTAATTTAGATTCTTGTATGTACAGGCCCTTTAGGTTCTCCGAGAACAGCCACGATTTGATCCCCCTCCTCTTCCCTCTATCCAGCGGACTACCCATCCCTCTAACATTCCAGGTTGCTAACTTCAATCTAACCATCGGAGGGCATAACCGCTGTTTGACCTTGGATGCGGTCTGAAGGAAGCAAAGAATCGTCGCCCCAACGCCCATTTTCCCTGCTGGGTGTATGTGCCATTGGACTCTCTCTTTAGAATTCCCATGAGTCCACTGACCTGGTGGACGATCTCCAAGGTGCTATCAGCGAATCACGCACGAAGGGGGAGTGGAGGTTCTCCGAATCTGCTAATTTCTCGTTTACATGCAGCGGAATCCGGACCGTCACACCAGGGGCGAGGGCAATCATTTCCAACTCTTGCACATTCTGTTCCCGAACAGCGTCCAGCTTGAACCACTGTACTCCTATCAGGGAGAGGGTACCCGCAGTGACAACATTTATCCTGCCATCAAACAGGGGAAGTAGAACGCGTACATCTTCTCCTCCAACGGAACTATGATGCTCACCATCGTCGATCTTGGAATCAGCCGAAATGGGAAAGCCTCTCCATAGAGATCCTTCGCTTTTCTGACAATCTCCAGTGGAGTCGGAGTTCTACTTGTTTATACTGACGGGAGCACCGGTCTGTCGTTATTTGCCATTCCCAAGAAGAAGACTCCCTCCTCTGTTGCTGTACACATCAGCGGAACCATTCTCCTTTCTACCCTATCTCTATCTTGATGACGAATGGTCGAGGCACTCCTGCCGTGGTTTTCCCTATATTCCAGCTTACTCTGCGTGTCCGATGCTTGACCTCGCCTTCTGTGTGGTATTCCGGAACTACCTGTAGAAGATTCTGAGCACTCTGGCCCCAGGTCTCCGTCCCCTGATCCCAACAACTCATCTCCCAAAACCTCGCTTCCTACTCCCACCCGTGATTGTGATGACACCGATAGGGCAAGATCCTCTCCCCCCTGTGCCCCCAGCGGCACGCCCTCTGTTACCCGACTCCTTCCTCTTCTGTCGCTGGATGTTCCCAATCTACTCCTTCGAATGAGACGCCCCTGCGACTCACCCCTGATTTCTCCCCTCCTATGCTCCTCTCGTTCCCACCTCTGCCCCCTAAATAACGACTCCCTATGTTCCGGGCCCTGTGACCCTGCCTGCCCTGTCCGGTAGCAATCTTGGTTGTGCCCCTCTACCCCGTAGTCCTCCTGCCAGTAGGAGTCCGCCCCTAAGGGGGGTTGTCCCCCCACTGGGTAGTTGTAGAACTGCCCCGACTCTGGAACTCCAGGGGGGCGTGTGGTCGACGGGGAATGGCAGATTTGTGGGTATGCATTCTGATTGGGCGTACGAGGCATCGGCCTTTGCATGTAACCGGATTGTGGGGCCGAGTTGGGATGACCCGTCCAATACGGTACATGTGACCACTGAGGGATCAGAGAAGGTGGATTTGGGAGGGGGAGGGGTGGAAAGCAGCTATCGGGGTATTGTAGCTGGGGAGGGGTTGGGTATAGTGGCGGGTGTCCTGGTGCTTGGGAGTTGGGACCTGGGTATTGTCGAGGATTGTAACACCCTGCCTGTTCTCTGAACTCCTCTCCCCCCGCCTTCGGGCCACCCCCTCCACCAGCAGGGCCCCTCGTCTGCTGTACTTCCTAATGAGATTGAACATCGTGTCTACTCTGTGTGCCAGATGGCACTTGTCCTGCCCCCTGATGGGCTCTTCCTCCCTCTCGATGTCCTATCACTGTCTAAGGTCTTCTGTCCTCATGTGCCTGCGCTCGGTTTCCTTGCCCCACTGACGCTTCCTGGCTCGGCTGTGGCCTATTCTGTCGTGGGAGATGGGAGTTCACCCACTGTCTTGACGATCTCTCCCCCTGTGTTGCTCTAGGACAGTTGTCTTCGGTGTGAAATACCACCGACAGGTCCGACACCAATCTGTGTATGGGGTTGCCACCTCAATCTTCCAGATTTCCCCTTTTGGCGACTTAACTGCCAGTGTATTTTCCACCCTATACCTCGCCTGCGGATCCATGTCAAACTTCACGTTCATCAACTTCGTCCGCGAGCGGTCTGCTTCCGGGGGGTGCATGTTTTTGACTCCCCCAATCAACCCTTCCACCGTTGATGGCAGATAATAAAAGGGTTCTAACGGAACTCTAAGCGCTACGATCCAAAAATTGGTCTCGGCCTCCTTCAGTCTGAGCTCCTTCAAGTCAGCTTTCGTCGTCCAAGATTTGAACATCACCGGATAGTCCACTCCTCTCAGATTCAGATTCGTCGATGCTTTTTGCACCATCCATGCTGCTACCTTCGGGGACTTTGCCACGTACGAGATTATGTTTGCTCCTTCAAACGTGATTCTACCTCTTCTTACTTCTGGGCTAAATAGCCTCCTCGCCATCCATCCATCCTCATACGCCCGAATCAAGTCTTCTTTGACCCCCCTCGTAAGGTTTCGAGAGTTGTCATGGAAAACCACAATAACAGTTCTTTCCTTCAACCACTTCTCCTTGATCTGCTCTAACGAACAATTTACTTTGAACCTCTCCCCCTTTGCATCAATCACGACCTCCCTGAAATTCGGATTGATCTGCATGACTCCCTCATCGTAGCTTTGCCCAATCGATTGCCTTGCTTGGTCTTCTATTGACCAAAAAATCGTCGGTTGCTGCGGATGCTGTCCTCCTTCCTGCTCTTCCGCCTCCATATCGGCCATAATGCTAGTTCCTCTCTTCTGTTCCAACTGCCTGTGTCCTCCTTGTGCTTGTCCGACCTGTCGGCAACCCTCTTCTCCCCATGATTCCCTCCTCCCTTGGAAAACCCCTCCTTACCCTACTTCTCCCTTCAGTTCCCCTTTACCCTCACGGACTCCCCCTTCCCCTCATCTCTAATTCCTCCGTGACTCGCCGGCTCATGACATCATCCCCTTGGCCAAGCATATGCTAGGCCCCGATGCACCTGGCAGCAACTGCATTCATATCCCTAATGTGAGGATGCCCTTAGTGCTACGAGCGTTCGCCAAGGTCTGACCGTGCTAAGATTGTACGTGGTTGTCCCCTTCTCCCCCCTCCATGTAGACGCCAGATGGTGCAAGGATCCCCGAAATATTTATGTCTATATCTGGACGCCGTTGCCGTAAGATGAATGCTGACCAGTTCGTAAGTGAAAGCCCCTTCTCTCGTTCTCTCCTCATATCACTTTCCTAATTATCAACGAATAGTCCGAGAATGGGAGTACTTTCCCTCCTTCCGCCTGGTGTCCCATATGATCGCCTAGCGCAGGACCCAAATGATCCAAATCCATGTGCTCACTTTGATTGATTTCACCATGTCACCGGTGCCCTTCTTCCGACTCTCATGAGCGAGGGTCTATCCTCCTTGTTCTTTCCACCACTTCCTACCTAGAGCCCTCGGGGGCGTGATTGGCTGTTTCGACAAACCCCTCTCCGATTACTCGAAACGCGTGATTGGACGCGTGGCATGGGGTTCCCGCTCTCCGTCAGGGATGGCGGAGTTGGCGGCGAAACAGTGGCCCAGCAAGTCCACGGAGGACCCCAGGCCAGGCGCAGCAGTGCGCTATCCATCCAGCCGCGGCGTCCCCCCCCTCTAGCTATATTTTTTTCAGATTTTTCTGAGAACTTTTTTTTTTTTTTTTTTTTTTTTTTTGCGCTAGGTCGGACATACCCTGTCCGGTCGGACAACCCGGACGGTCAGGGGGGTCCCGGACGTCCGATCCAACAACCTAGGTTTAAATCGATTTTAGTTTTTGACTTTTGAAAATCTTAAACAAAGTCAGATTCCAAAAAAAAAAATATAGGAGTGTAGGGTTTTCCAAGCCCTACACCCCCATATATATATATATATTTTACGTATTTTTAGGGGGGGGATTGAAAAACCAGGCCGTGAACTAGGCCTCATCGGCCGTGGCCGCGGCCGAAATGCGTGCGGCCTAGGCTGGGGGTGTCACATAGGCGCCACCCCATGGAACTTCCCAAACCCCCAACCCCCCTCCCCACTGGCCGCCATGCGGCCGCAAAGTCGCGTGGCCGCGCGGACACGTCCGCGGGGTCGCGGACCTGGCCGCGGTCGCGGACTTGGCCGCGCTTGGTTGCCTCCGAGGCGTATTCGTAGCCGCCATGGTTTCATAGAAGTGTGGCCATGCCGAAATCCAGCGTGTACCAAATGAAGCTGACGGATCTGGGGCAGCTACAACAAGTGATCAGGTGCGAGGTGAAACTGCGGAATGTGGTGATGCGCGTCTTACACGGCTGGGTCTTCAAACCCAGCTCAAGAGGGAGAGGATACACTCTTGCCTTCTAGTACACGCTAGAGTTGGCAGCTACAGACATCGCTCGTGTGATTTGGCATGGCGAGGAATGGTTCAACGTCGTAAGCCCTGTGGTTTTTCTGGCACACCCTGGACCTCTGGATGGACCTGCCACTGTGGTTCCTCGATGCTTACGTGGAGGACAGACTTGATGCCGATGACATGGCGGCTTACAAAGAGGCCACCGTCCTCCGGTTGATAACCATCATGTTAGGCGTCGCTGTTGAAACGGGGCAGTCCATCGACGGAGGGCGCATAACGCACGAGCGTCTCCTGAGGATCTCAGACAACTTCAGGCTTTTGCTGGCGGCAATGATGTGGATTATGTGAATGGCGGGTGATGATTTGCAATCACACTACAAGGCATCATACTTCACCAAACTCACCGTGAAGCCCCTACTCGTTGCGTCCATGCGTTGTGCGTTCGACTATAAACAGTGCGTCGTGTCTTCTGCCTACAACGCGACGGAGAGGTTCGACAAGGCAAGTGTCACGTTCAGGGACGTCGCGAACTACATCCCAGAGTGGGCTTCTTGGGCGTCGTCCCCAACCACGACGCCAACATAGGAGGACTAGAAGATGCAATGCGGTGGGAATGGTTGGGGATGGGCCCACCGGAGGGTGAAGACGTGGCTCCTTCGAACGCTGATAGTTAGATGGGGTGTGGCTGGTGGGGATAGGACAAGGGGGTTATTGTGTTTGGATGGCCGCCTCAATTCCAGGCGATTGCGGAGGACTGTCGAAGGGTGGGGGTGGGTTGTAGTTGTGGCATATAGTTATCAGGTGTTCATGATGTTTTGGTTTTTGGCGAGCCTTTGAGTTTATCGCTCGCATTGATTTTCTTAAATTGTACATGTTGGTTGTGATGTTAATTTTTTGTAATCTCCCACCTTTTTGTCATGTATCTGCACTTTGCCCCTGTTAAAATTCAATGTTGGCGAGGTGGTTGTCTGCCATGATCATTTTCGCAATGGCTTGGGAAGTTTGGGGATGTGTTGTGGCGAAGTTTTATTCAATCCATGCACGAAAACGAATGAGTGAAAACAACGTGATTGTTCCCACAATTGATTGAGAGGTTGATACCAAACTCTAATGCAATGAGACGATAATACGGCTGTGCAAGAAATCTTTGCCATCAGAATGGAAAGTTCACAACAAAGAGAATTCACGAAGACGTTCGACATAAAATGAAACAGAAGAAACGACAACAAACTTTTTAACCACGTTGTTTCCTTCGCTCCCCTGATTGGAGGATTTAGAAAACAAGAAAACACATAAGATTTGAATAGACCTGAGCAATAACTAAAGCAAGAAAGAAGACAACAGGAGCAAGACACAAAGAACAACAGTCCCGATAACAAAGTCTTCGAACGACGACATCAACAGACCCAACCAATTGAACGTCGTTGTTTAAAAAAATAAAGCCAAGTGGATGCATGAATCGAACGCCGTCATGGACCTCCTCGCCATGCAATCTACATGGCTCGCGTTGCTTCTAAACTACAGACGAGTACTGGCAACTACTGACAAACGAACACAGACAACCGATCT